AGTCAGAACCATCAGGTAAACTCTGGAACGAATGAGACTCAGTGTGTTTTGCGTGGATTTCACTTTGGCTGTTAAGACCCTCTTAGCTCTTCTGTGAACACACTTGTCACAGATCATGGTATCTCTGGTAGTTTGCTCCATGTAGCGAGCACTGTGGGGAAAGCAGTCACTTCTGGTGTGATAACGCCGTCATTTCATAATGTGTCGTTTAATCGAATGATCGTCTTCAATTCATCGGGCAAAGTGCACGCCAGTGGTGAATGATTTGCTGAATAATCGCCACGTAAGAGTGACTGATCACACTTTTAGAGGATTTTTGTCTAAGACTTAGGCTCCGTTGGAGGCTACTTTTTCTCATTCGGTATAAGTGCCCTACTGGAATGTTAGAAAGGCCGCTGACCTTGAGACTATCTCTGGACTGCGATGAGCTTGCGCGGGGTGAAGTTCCCTTCCTATACTCCCTTTTAACCCTTTCCTTTCCGCCCGGATCTTATGTTCATAACGCGTTTGGGTGATTACAGTAATTCGAAAGTCTCTGCTATCTCATTCGCCTAAGGGTTGACAACTGACTCTGGTAAACCTTTCGGCGAGCACTGAGCTCACTGTGCTTGTCAGAAAGACCCTGGTTTGTCATTCAGAGTCCACTTCTTCTATAAAGCGACAAAAGTTCTCAAACTTGAAAGACACCTAAAATGTTTGTTGTGGCTTGATGAGAGGGAGGTACGCTGTGCTTAGAAAAGTCGCTTACTTACTCGTCAAGTTCCAGATGGACGGGGACTGACCTTGATACTTGTTCAGTGAGGTACGTGAAGCTCTGAGTAGGAGGATACCCCTCTTTTTTGGTGAAGCACTGATTAAATGGGAATATGGGTTTCGATGACTGTATAATGAAGGATTGGGTTGTTTGAGACTGTTATGAATTTATATATATATATATATATATATATATATATATATATATATATATATATATATATATATATATATATATATATATATATATATATAAGTCGGGTTATTTAAAATTCGTTTATGCAGAGGTGGGAAGTTAGTTTGAGCTCTCGCCATGAGAGTAACAATGTTTTAAGTCGGAACACAACTGAAACGTTGTACACTGCACGTTTTACCCCGTCCACGTGCGGAAATGTCTTCTGTGTGACGAATGAACTGAGTTCGTGTATTACTGAGCTCCGTACTAAGCTGATTAGACCAAGAGACAGAGTCGAGAACTTTTCTTAAGTTTTGTACGCGTGAGAAAAGGGGCGGTGATAGTGTATCAGTTGAGTCCTAAAAGTCTGACTCTCATCTAAGGGCTGAGTGCCGGATGTCTGTTGCTGTGCACGATCGACTCTGGGATCACGTTTCATGAGCATTACGGGATACCTTAATGTCCTCAAGTGATACTAAGTATCGTGCACAAATTCAAGTCTAACAACAAAGTTAGCTTATCATGGAGAGGGGTAGGCTGTTCCCGACTATAATCTGACCTGTCAAGCGTGTGTGCCCTCGACGAAAAAGGGGTTGCACAGATGTCGACTCAGGACTACCCACTAGTCTGGCGGTGAGCTAGTTTATGTAAGAGCTTAAGCCATACATGACAATGCAGGCTCACGAGCAGGTGGGCGGGGACCAGGTCAAGTCATGGGAGAGCAAATACTGAAAAGGGTGAGTGAGCAATGGTTTATCTCCGTGAACTGGAAGAAAAGTTGTGCGGTACAAATCCTTTTCACCGAAAGACCGCGGATCAAATAAAGAGCAATTAGGTTTCACCGGGGGAATCGGGCATGAAAACTATAGCCCCAAGAGTGGCTTGTTCGTCGAGTGCGGTGATCAATTTGTACACGGCCAGAATTGGATCGCTGCTCAGTTAAAATTCAAT